ACCTGTAAACACAACCATAACTCAGTCACACTTCTAGTCACGAAAACGTTGGTCATGCTCATTTTGTGTACCTGTAAACACAACCATAACTCAGTCACACTTCTAGTCACGAAAACGTTGGTCATGTTAATTTTGTGTACCTGTAAACACAACCATAACTCAGACACACTTCTAGTCACAAAAACGTTGGTCATGTTCATTTTGTGTACCTGTAAACACAACCATTACTCAGACACACTTCTAATCACGAAAACGTTTGTCACGTTCGTTTGGTCTATATCTGTAAAGACAAATATAACTCAGACGCTTACTTCAAGAACGTTAGCCACATTAGTTTGTTGTGTATCTGTAAAGGCAAAACATAACTCAGACGCTTACTTCAAGAACGTTAGCCACATTAGTTTGTTGTGTATCTGTAAAGACAAAACATTTTTCAGACTCTTACTTCAAGAACGTTAGCCACATTAGTTTGTTGTGTATCTGTAAAGACAAAACATAACTCAGACGCTTACTTCAAACTAAATATCTGAATGTCAGTAGAAACAACTATTACAACCACACTGACTTATTCTACATATGAAAATGTTGTCTTAGTACAGTAAAAAACAGATCTATCAGCTTGTCTTATTTTTAAGATAACACTGAACGTTTTTCCAATGTAGGTGTTCAACAAATTAGACGATCATTACTTTCGTTTCTAAATCAACACGAATAAGGTGTTTGTTCTAGAATCCAAATATAATATAGTTTTATAATCGTTCTGACCTCCGACCATTTTTTTCCAGTAACTTTTACTTGGCTGGTATTAGAGACTATAGAAGTACTTGTCAGAAATGACATCAAAAATACAAGAGAGAGAGAGAGAAAACGTCAAGAAAACTACGTTACACTTCCGTCATCATCATAAAATGGAATACAGTCTCGTGCAGAGCAATCGACGGAAAGAGCAGACTTTTCAAGTCAAAGATACTTATTTTCAAGATCTAGCGTCGTTCAGTTGAGTGGAAAATTCGAAACTAATAATACGCTGTATAATTTGCTTCAACTGAAAACAAATCGAGTGTGTTTAAAGCATCTTACGTTAGTGTGTTTAAATCAAGCTAATCTTGCGTTGTGCTTGCTATACTACTGTTCTTGTTTTTCTATGTCTCGAATATCGATGGCATTATTTACGGTCCAAGCCTATTTTCTTATTGAAATCATGAAGTATTGAACTCGACTACGACAAGAGAATGAAATAGGCAATGATAGTTTGTTTGTTTTTTCCATTTTTATTAAAGTCTTCGTTCTACCAACTTTAAAATCGCTGCAGAGATATTCGGTAAGATGTCATTTCTTGGTTTATTTTTACAGTCTATCAAGAATTATCCTAATACCGTTCCAGTAAATTCCTACACATTATAGGAAAGTTTTATGATTGGTTAATAGACTTACACGGGTCATAGTTTCATCTTGTGTTTGGTATACCAAAACTGTCAAGGTTATACTTACACAAGTAATAGTTTCATCTTGTGTTTGGTATACCAAAACTGTCAAGGTTATACTTACACAGGTCATAGTTTCATCTTGTGTTTGGTATACCAACACTGTCAAGGTTATAC